GGTGACGACGACGATGCAGGAGGCGGCGCCTTGGACGAGTTGCGGCCACCCTTGGTGGCGGCGTACGTGGACAGGGGGCCGTGACTGGCCTTGGCACGACGAGCCTCGACACGCTGTTCGGTGAGAAGAAGGCAGGAGTAGACCTTATGTGCCATCATGGGGGTCAACCGGCCGAGTTGCCCCGCTCGTTGATGATCTCGACCAAAGCATCATACTCCTCGTCTAGCCCGTTGACGATGAAGGAGTTGAACTCAGAGTCGGTGAGCGGCTGTCCAATGGAGGCCAACTAGTCAGCAAGGCCCTTGACCTTGTTGTAGAACTCCGTGGCCGTGGAGTCGAGCTTCTCACACTCACCAAGCTGACGATGAAGCGTGGAGACACGAGCCTGTGACTGCGCCGCAAACGAGCGCTCGAGTATGGTCCATGCCTCATGAGACGTCTTGGCGAAAACGGCAAGCCCAGCGACAGCCGGAGAGAGCGATCCCTGGATGGAGGAGAGGTTCGCCTGGTCCTGCCCCATCCAAACACGGTGGGCCGGATTATAGACCGGACTGTGCATGATGTCCACCAGCGCGGGAGGGGGGCAAGGAAGAGAACCGTCGACGTAGCCAAGCAGGTAATGGATCCCAAGGAGCGGAAGAACCTGCGCACGCCAGAAGATGTAGTTGTTGAACGATAACTTGATGGTGATGAGATGGCCGAAGTGAAACGGCGGTGGCGGCGGCGATCCCATCGAGGAGACTGCCTGAGGTGAGGACACCATAGAGGCAGTCAGCGGCACCATGGATGCGACCGGAGGTGCAAAGGGCGCGGGGGCAGATGGCACCGCGGCCGGGACCGACGCCGCAAGCCCCGCCATGAAGGCGGACTCGGGCGCCACCAGCGGTAGTGGCGGGACAGTACCTGTGGCACGAGATGCGGACGAAGCGGCGGCGGTGTGCACCTCGAGCTCGTGCCCGAGCGACGAGGCAGCCGGTGGAGTCTAGAAAAGGAGCCCACGCTCCTTGTCTCGAGCGGGGACTGCACGGCGGCTGCGTCCAGCGGACGGGACAGAAGTGCCGCGAGGGAGGCCGGCAAGAACCCTGCGGTGGTGGATCCGGATGTGGCGGCGCTCGACATGGCGGCGGCGCGATCGGAAGTGAGGCGGCGGCGGCGGTGTCGGGTGTTTAGGGTTTTGGCGGAAGTGTACG